GCGGCGGCGCGCGTCGTCGAGCCCCCGGCGGCGGCGCGCGTCGTCGAGCCCCCGGCGGCGTCGCAGCGGCTCACGCCGCCGCCGCCGCCGGCGCCGGCGCAGCTCTTCGGGGCCGTGCTCGCCCGCGGCCGCGCGCGCGCGCCGCTGCCGGCCGGCGCCCGCGGGCTCCCGGGCCTCCCGGACCTCGACGGCCGCGACGTGCGCCGCGGCGGCCTCATGGGCGACGTGCGCCGCGGCGGCCTCATGGGCGGCGCGCCGGAGCCCACGGACGAGACGCTCGAGTGGCGGCCGACCAAGTACTCCATGGCGCGGGCCATGGCGCCGGCGCCGGTCCGGCCGCTCGTCCGCGCGCCCACGTCCTGGGACCGGGGCCGGCTGGCGGGCGACGCCGGGCTCGCGGCGCGCCGCGACGCCCGGAGCTCTTCGGACCTCCTCGGGGGCGCGTCGGCGTCGAACGGCGCGGTCTTCGGGCCGGGCTGGACGTCGCCGCAGCAGTGGACGCCGTTCCGGGGCGGCACGCCGTACCCGCCGCCGCGGCGCGTCGTGGCCTTCGCGGCGGGACCGGGCGACGGCTCGCGCCGCCGGTCCGCGTCCGCGCCGCCGCCGCCGGGCTCCTTCGAGTACGAGCTGCCGTCCGAGAGCATCTCGGACGAGAGCATCTCGGACTCGGAGGCCAAGGCGGACATCTTCTCGGCGATGGACGCGGTCATGCTCGCGTACCCGGACGAGCTGCTGCTCCAGCAGGAGGAGCGGTTCGCGGACCGCTCGCCCGAGGCCGTCGGCGCGAGTCCGTCGGCGGAGCACGTCCAGGCGTCGCCCATGGAGCAGTCCATCCCGGAGGCGCAGTCCATGGACCAAGACTCGCCCGCGTCGCCCCCCTGGGGCAACGCGGGCAATCCGACGGCGTCCTCGAGCGAGGCGTCGCCGGAGAGCCTCGGCCCCGCGCCGCCGCCGCCGCCGCCGCCGGGCCCGATCCGGGGCCTCGACGACGCCCTCGAGGCCGCCGCCGCCGCGTCGTCCGACGACGACGACGACGACGACGACGGCCTGGGCGCGCCCGTGTGCGCGCGGCGCGTCGACCTGCGCGCGCTCGCGGCCGCGCGGCTCGACCTCGAGCGGCGCGCCCAGGCCGGCGCGCTCGGCCAGGAGATGGCGCAGGTCGACGCGGCGCTCGAGGCCGAGGAGGCCGCGGAGGCCGCGCGGTCCCGCCGCATGTGGGCCGGCCTCGCGCCGTCGCCGTCGGCCTGGCACCGCCAGAAGCGCGCCCGCGCGGCCTCCGCGGCGGCCTCCGCGGCGGCGCCGCGCCCGGCGTCGCCGTCGGCCTGGTCCGACGCCTCGGTGCTGTCGGCCTCGGACGACCCGGCGCAGCAGGCGCTCGCCGAGGAGGCCCGCGCCGCGGACGAGTACGTCGCGAGCCTCTCGGCGTCCGACGGCGAGGAGCCCGTCGTCGGCGACGTGACGAAGCGCATGCGGCGCTCGTCCCTCGAGCCGTCGGACGCGCCGTCGGCCCCGCCGTCGGCCCCGCCGTCGCCGCCCTAGGGCGGCGGCGAGCGGAAAGTCGCGCGCCCGGAGCTCTTCGGAGCGCTCTTCGGGCGCGCGCCGGCGGAGGGGTGGTGCGCCGCCCACGGTTCGGCGGCCCCCTCCGCCGCAAGCAACATCGTCACTTCTTCAAGCGCACCCGCGGTCCCGCGGCCCGGGCGAGAGCACGTCGGCGTCGTTCTTCGGAGCGCCGTCGACGCCCGGGCCGCGGGGCCGCGCCGCGCGGCGTCGAGAAACGTCGGACCCGTGTATCCTTCTCGACGCTCCGCATCCCCGCCGTCCCCGCTCTTCTCGGCCGCCGCGCCTGCGGCGGCCGCCCTTCCGCAAGCTCATCCCGCGCGCCTCGGCCGCCGACGCAGTCCGAAGGCCCCGCGCGCGCGGCGTCCTCGCGTCTCCGGCGGTTCAGCTGAACCGCGGGGCGGAGGACGTCGTCAAAGGTAGTAACACATCTTTGTGTAGCCACGCGGTAGCAGCGGCCGTCGTAGCAGCGGAGGCTCCGGCGCGAAGAGCGGGCGGCGCGAGCGCGAGAAGGCCTCCGTAGCTTCGCCGAGATTGTCGTGGCGGCGAGCGGCGGCGCCGCGGGGCCGTCGAGTGACGCTCGAGTCGCCACGGCAGCGCGAGCGGCGACTCGAGCGGAGCAGATGGCGTTCAGGGGCGCGGACGAGAGCGGCGTACGAGAGATGGCGTCGAGGTAGTGCGCGTGGACGCCCTGGGCGGCGGCGCGAGCGGCGTCGCGCCGTCGAGCGGCCGCGTCCGCAGCGCCGTCGAGTGACGCTCGCGTCGCCGCTGCACGCTGCACGGTGCCGCTTGTTTTTCGTGCTCGAGTTGGAGCTGCGAGCGAGGCGACGTCCAAGTGGCGCGCGTCGCAGCAGCAGCTGCAGCGGCCAAGGGCGCGGCGCGCTTATGTCGTCGAGGTGCGAGCGGCACGTTCGCGCGGCGCCGAAACTCGCGCGCTGGCTCTCTCGACGGAACTGTCTCCGATAGGCGCCATGCTCTCTGTAGAGGAGACGCGAAGTTGCCTTCACGCTGCTTTTGTGCTCCCAGTGGCGGCGCGGCCATGGGCTCGGAGACGAGTGGCGAAGCGTGGCAAGCGCGCCGGCGATTCGCGCCCCCGACGGCAGTCGTCGTCGAGGGACGTGGTGAGGAGGGAGCGGCGCGGCGAGGGCCCCGGGGACGATGTCGTGTGCGAACAAGGTCGGGTACGGCGTGGACACGCGTCCGAGTTACGCAGCTCCTACTTCCCGCGCGCGTCCGGGTGCTTGGTGAGGTATTTCTTCACGAGCACGGATGGGGGCACGGGGAGACGGTCGTAGCTCGCCGAGAGCGCGTCCCGGAACTCGAGCAGCGCGGCGCGGTGCCGGAGGAGCCACGCGTGGGGGGAGCCCTTGACCTTGAACTTGAAGTGCTTCTCGCGTTCTTTGGCGTCGGTGCCGCGCGGCAGCGGGTCCGGATCGAGCGAAGCGAACGCGCAGCCGGCCTAAGAGGTGCGGTGTTTCGAAAGCGGGCGTTTCCGGGGCGGCGCGAACGCGCGCCTCGCAGACGATGGCAAACGCGCCTCGCAGACGATGACGGAGATGAGCGCGACGGGCAGGCCCGCCGTGATGCACGCGTCGTAGGCGTCGCGGTACCTGAGCCCGGGCCACAACCGCGGCGCCGTCAAGATGTCCCACAAGCCGTCGAAGCAGCTGTCGGGCACCTCGAGCGCGTAGCCGAGCGCGCGGATGAGCCACTCGAGGGCGTAGTTGTAGTCGTCGTCGGCGGCCTTGAGCGACTCGCGGCAGCCGAGCCACACGCTCGAGAACGAGCCGACGAAGGAGCTCCAGGTCTCGCGCGTCGTCCGCGGGCCCAGCGCGTCCAAGAGGTCGCGGAGCGGGCTGTTCCTCTCGACGGCGGCGACGCGCGCCGCGTACTCGCGGCGCCATTGCTTGTGGCGCTCGCACGTGGGCGGGTACTGGCCGACCGCCTGGGGCGCGAAGCAGGCCCGGGTCACGGGAAAGTACAAGTAGGTCCACGACCGGTAGACCGTGTCCTTGGCCTCGAGGTAGTGCGCGTGGACGCCGGCGGCGGCGGCGACGACCTCGGCAGAGGTGACGGTGTCCCCGGAAGGCAGGAGCCTGTGCATCTTGAGCATGGCCGGGCCGAACTTCTGGAGGACGACGAACGGCAGCGTCCAGCGGGAGAAGCCCCGCTTCTCGTGGCGCCGCGCGGCGCGGCGCGCGGCGACGAGGTCCGCGGGGATGGCCCCGACGAGGGCCGCGACGTTGTCGAGGGAGTTGGGCGAGCGCTCGGCCCGGGCCTTGGCGTTCAGGGGCGCGGCGCTCGGGTAGGCGGGCGCGGCCATGGCCGCGGTTTTACGCCGGATCGAGCCCTTGGCGCGCGCGGCGTCGGCGACGTTCCGGCGGGCCGTGGGGTCTCGCCGGGCCTGGAGCACGGTCTGTTTCCGTTCCAAGCGCCGCCTGGCCTTCTTCTTCATCGGAGGCAGTTCGAGGCTCGGCCGTCTTCTTCTTCCCCAGCGGGGAGATGCGGACCGTGCGGCGCTCGAGCGATGTCGTCGAGGTGCGGCTTTACGTGGCGCCACGTGCGATTGTCGTAGCGGAGCGCCGGCGGCGGACGACGACGACGGCGGGCTGGCACAGCCTTCGCGGAGTTTCGAGATGCACCGTTCAACGACTTCAAGGTGCCGGGCATCGAAAAAGCTGCTGCTCTGCGATGGAGGCGCCTACAGCTTATCCGCCGCCGGCGCGCCGCACGCACGACGAGGACGACGAGGCGACCATCAGCGAGCCGCTGCGCAGCGTGGTGCGCAGCCACAACTGGGACAACGTCCGCTACCAAGACCGGCCGCGGGAAGAACTTTTAAGTCTCGGCTTCGACGAACGACTCCGGGAGCTCGGCTCCTCGGACGAGCTCCGGGCGGTCGCTCGCTGGTGCGTCGGCACCTCCACGCGCGATAGCCTCGGGTCCCGACGACGGTTCGAGGCGCTCGAGCTGACCCTGGACGAGTCGGATCGGCGCGGCGGTCCGGGCCTCGTGCGCGACCAGGGGCTCGTGCACCGGGCCGCGCGCGCCGGCGACCTCGCCGCGCTCGGCCTGCTGCTGCAGCGCGGCCTCGCCGCCGACGATCTCGACCCGACCTGCGCGCGCGGCGGCGCGGCGTTGCTCGAGGCGACGCAGCGCCTCGAGATCGCCGCCGTCGACCTGTTGTTGCGCCGCGGCGCGGACCCGAACAAGGTCGGTTCCTCGCAGAGGACGCTCTGGGCGCCGCCGGACTTTCCGGAGCGCGCGGTGCGGGCCGACGCGTCGGCGTTGGAGATTGCGGCGCGGTTTGGGGCGGTGGACATCGCCGAGCTGCTGCTCCGGAGCGGCGCCGCGGTCGAGGGGCCGGAGCGCGCGCGCGGCACGCCGCTCGGCGCGGCCGTCGACGGCGACTCGGCGGAGATGGTGGCGCTGCTCCTGCGGTGGGGCGCGGGAGTTTCCCCGCCGACGGTCGCGCGGGCCGCGCGCGTCGCGTCCGTGGGGGTGGTGAGGATGCTGATGGAGCGGATGGAGGAAGAGGATCCGGCGGATAGTCGCTACGTGGGCCCCGTCGACGGCTACCTCATCGAGGTGGTGGAAGACATCGCGCGGCACGACGCGCCCGGGAGCGCTGTCGCGCGCGTCGACAGCGCGCGCGAATACGCGGTGTTGGACGAGATTTTGTCCAAGTCGACGGTGTCCCCGCGGCTCAAGAACCGGTTGTTGGGGGGGCTGCGCTGGAACTGCTCCGACGCGCGCGGCGCCGGCTACGCGTTTCTCCTGCGGAAATACGGGGCGCGCTGTTTCCACAAGGAAAAGCCGGGCTGCTGGAGGCTGTTCGCGCCGGGAAAGTGCGCGGCGGACCGGTTTTACGGGACTTGGGTCAGCAGGGTCGCGCTGCGGAAGCTCCGCGGAAACGGGGACGCGCGCAAGACGATCCTCGGGTTTCTCCGGAATGGAGGAGCTTTGTGGTAAAGGTGTGTGATTCGAGGAGGCAGGAGGCCCAGCCTTCGGAATTGCGCCTGCAAGGTGCAGGGCATCGTGCCCTGGCTCCAGGGAGAGCGGCGCATGGAGGAGTCCGTCGTCGACGGCGCGCGCGCGCCCAGCCGTGCGGGCGCCGCGGGCGCGTCCGAGTTCTTCGGCGCCGAAGGCGCGGGTTCGAGTGTTGCGAGTTTGGGACGGCGGGCAGGGGCCCGCCAGGGCCCACGGTCCTCGAGTTCTCGGGCGGCGGACGGCGGAGCTACTTCGCCGAGAAGCTCGAGGCCGCCGTCGTGGGCGTCCGGCGGCGCGGCGGCGCGCAGGCCGTCGAGGGTGGCGGTGGCGTGGGCGCGAGGCCGCCGAGGCCCTCGGAGAAGCGCGTCGCCGGCGCGCTCCTCGAGCGTCTTCGACGGCCTCGAGCGTCTTCGGCGGTCATCGAGCGCCGCGCCGGCGACGCGCTCGAGGACAGACGCGGCGACGACGCGCTCGACGACGACGCGCTCGACGACGACGCTCTCGGCGCCCTCGGAGACGCTCGAGCGCGTCGGCGACGAGCTTCTCCGGCGGCCTCGAGCGTCTTCGACGGCCTCGCGCGCCTCGGCGGCCTCGGCGGCGGCCTCGGCGGCCTCGAGCGGCGCGCCCGCGTCCGTCGGCGCCGCGCCCGCGAGGACAGACGCGACGACGACGCTCTCGGCGCCGACGGACGCGCGCGCGCGCGCGACGCGCGAACGATCCCCGACGCCGCGAGGCTCGTTTCGGACGGTTTCGCGGGTTACAGGCCGGGCTATCGTCCTCAGAGTCGGGTCGAGGGTTAGTCGAGGGTTAGAGAGGCGCTCGCTGAGGGTTACGGCCATCGCTAGGTGTATTGTTAGGGGTTAGGGTTTCACCATATATGGGGGGGTGCGGGGGGGCGGCGGCTGGAGAGGGGGGTACGCGACGCTCACGCACAGTCCCGTCGATCGTTGTCCGCCGCCACGCGCGCCGCCACGCGCCGCGCCGCCACGCGCGCCGCACACACACACACGCGCGCGCGCGCGCGCGTCCACAGGGGGCCACTCAGGCCCTCCAGGGAGGTTCCTCCTGGAGGAGCCTCCCTGGCGCGGGCCGTCCGTGAAATTCCCCCCGAACAGGGCGCCGCCGTCGCCGGCCTGGCGCCAGGCGACGGCGGTCTGGTACAGAGGGAGGAGGGAGGAGGACGGACCGCGGGGAGGCGGGGACCGGGGAGGGAACTCTCCGAGGCTCGGGGCCCCCCGGTGCCGTCGGGCGCCGTGGGGCGGTGGGAGCGACCACCGTCCCGCCGGCGCGGGTCCACGCGCCGCGAGCGGCGACATGTCCCCGCTTCACCTTCTCCGTGCTGGGGGCCCGGAGCCCCGCTCTCGGCCGTTCTCGCGCGGGGAAGGGGACGTTCGCCTGCGCTTGCGCCGTGAGCGCCGCGGGCGCCACCGGGCCAGGCCCGCTATGTCGCGCCCGCAGCGCTCGCGGGGCTCGGCCCTTGCGGGCCCACCCCGAGGCGCGCGCGGCTTGAACGCGAGCTTGCGCGCGAGCGCGCGAGAACGACCGAGAGCGCGAGTTGAAGTCGGACCTGCGGCGCGCGGCGACGCTTGTCGTGGCGCTCCGCGGCGGCGGGCGGGCGGGGAAGACGCGGCGGGCGGGGAAGACGCGGCGGGCGCCAGGGACATGCGCCAGGGACATGCGCCATTGGAGAGGGCCGCGTCGCCGACGCCGAGAGAAGCGCGCCGGCCGCGGGACCTGCGCGGCGGGACCCCGCGCCGCGCCGCCGCCGTATGGGCGTCCCCATACGGCGGCGCTTGCGACGCGAGGCCGAGACGCGACGGCGGCGCGCGATTTTCCGACGGCGAGGCCCGCTGCTGCTGCCCGCCGACGCACTTCGTTTCAAAACGGCACCGTTCGGACGGTGCCGGCGCGGTGCCGCGGCTTTAGCGCGAGGCTGGGTGGCGGCCGTCGACGCTCTCGCGGTGGACAGCGCCGCTCCCGTGTCGCGGCCGCAACCGCGCGACGGCGCCATGGGCGGCGGCTCGCCGTCGCGGAAGAAGAAGCGCGCGGCGTCGCCGACGGCTTCCGCCACGCCGACGGCGGCGGCGAGCTCGAGCGCCCCGGGGCAGCAGTCCCACACCTACAGGGACCACCGCAGCTTCCCCGCGGACCTCAAGCACGGCGACCTCGTCGTCGTCATCGACCGCAACACCGGCGCGCGGCGCGACGGCGTCGTCCTGCGCATGAGCAAGGCGGGGTCGACGGCCCGCGTCCGCATGTGCGACGGCGCGTTCGAGGCGCTGACCAAGCACACGGGGCCCGTCCAGGGGTCGCTCCTCAAGGTCGAGGGCAAGGAGGGCATGACGGAGGCCCTGGAGCGGTGGAATGCGCGGCGCAGCCCCTACGCGGCGTCCGCCCACTCGGACGCGGCCGCCGCGGCCGCGAAGACGCTCGCCGACGCCGTCGAGGCCGCGCTGCTCCACGACACGAAGCCGGCCCCCGGCCAGGCCGCCCAGGGCGAATCGGTCGCGCCGGGCTCGGTGCTGGCATGGCTTTGGTGCCGGGATCGGCGGGGGCCGCAGCGCGAGGACGGCGGCGACGACCCCGGGGAGAAGCCGCGGCTCTTCATCGGCGCGCGGCCAGCGTCCCGTCGCGAGTTTCTCGGCCGCGCAGCAGAGCCTCGTCCGCCCCGTCGCAGAGTTTTGCAGCGGAGGGCAGAAGCTCGCGCGCGCCGTCCACGCCGCGGAGCTCGAGGCGGGCCGGCACACCTACGTGCTCACGGTCGACAGCGACCCCGACACGGACGCGGACTTTCCCGTGTCCTTGCACGGGGCCTTCGCGAACGAGATCCTCGGCTTCTGCGTGGACTTTACGGTCTGGGGCGCGCACATCGGCCTCCCGTGCGAGAGCGGCTGCCCCGCGGTCCCGCGCGCGGCGCCTCGAGCTCGGGCTTCTTCGCGTCGACCGCGCGCCCCCGCGCGCAGGACCGCGCCAACCAGGCGCGGGACCAGGCCGCCGGGTCCATGGGCATGCTCGGCTTTGAGGACAAGGACATCGCCGTGCACCTGCAGGCCCGGCGGCGCGGCCGCGGCGCCCGAGCGCGTTTTTTTTTGGGGGGGACGACCGCGCGCAGGGAGAACCAGTACCACTGCATCAAGGCCTACGGCGACGTCTGCGCGCACTTTTCGCGCGAGGCGCCCGGGTTCATCTGCAGCCTGGAGAACCCGAGCCAAAATGCGCTCTACGGGCTCCCGGCCTTCCACCACTGGCGGCGCGGCGCGGCCGCGTCCCTTTTTTTTTCTTCGCGCGGTCCCGGACCCGAAACCACAGGGTCCAGAACGGCGCCCTGGGCGTGCCGTTCAGCCACTGCACGGAGCACTTTAGGGACCCGGCGACGCGCTACTGCGACGAGCAGCGCGGCACAAGAGAGCGAAATTCCCAACTTCAAAGGCTCAATTCCCGACTTCGAACGCTCGTATCTCGGCCGTTTTCCGCTCGTTTCGGCTGATTTTTGGACGAGCGATCATCTCGCGGAACGGTCTCGACGCGTGGATGTTTCGCTCGTGACGCGCGCGCGCGGCACGCGCACGCTGAAGCATCTTACCGCCCAGGCAAGGAGGGCCTGTTCTTCAGCAACAGCCCGAACTGGCCCGTCGGCGACGACATGATGCTCGACGGCGCGGACGCGCGCGGCAAGCTCTACTGCTGCCCCGGCGGGACGCGGTGCCCGGTGAAGGGCACGACCTGGGACCAGCTCGTCGCGCCCGAGGGCGAGCTCGCCGCGCAGACGCACGTCAACGGCGCGTACTGCGCGCTGGCCGGCGACCGCCTCCGCGACGCCGCCGTGTATTCCGACACGACGGCGTCGACCTTCGCGCGGACCTTTTGCGAGGCCCCGCGGGATGGCTGGCGCGGCCGGAAGCTGCGCTTGTGGCGCACCTTGTGGGCGGACAAGGACAAGAAGTACTTCCTCAAGGCGGACGCGGAGCGCATCCCCGAGGCGGCCGTCCAGCTCGGCTGCCGGGCTTTCCCGGACGGGACGACGCCCTAAATGTTTAGTCCCGTCGCCCTAAGCGTTTGAACCAAAGGGGACGACCGCGACGCGGGTCCGCCGCGAGCCCGCGGGCAGCGCCGGGTCGGCGTCGTAGAGCGGGGTGCCCGGCTCCGGGGGCGTCGTCGGCGTCACGTGGGCGAAAATGGCCATGGTGAAGCGGATTGGCAGGTCGTCGAAGCGCGACGCCGGGCCCGCGTCCGCGTCGTCGTCGTCGTCGTCGTCGTCGGCCGGGTTCGGGGGCCGGCACAGCGGGCAGACGGCGTGGAGGACCTTTGAGCCGCTGAGGAAGACCATGTCGCCGAGCTTGTAGTCGACGAGGATCGCGCCCGTGATCAGGACGAGCTCGCCGGCGACGTAGGGCGCGTTCGGGTTGGCCGTGCCCCCGAGGAGGCATGTCGGCACCTTGTCCTTCTTGTCGCGGTGGACGGCGACCTGGCTCATCGCGTACTGGAGGATCGTGCAGCAGGCCTTGTATATTTCGGCGCCTTCGGCCACATCGTGGCCCATGAGCGCGAGGACGCGGCGCGCGCGGTCCTCGACGCACCGCAGGAGCGCCTGGACGCAGTCACAGGAGCCCTTGAGTTCGGACAGGGCGAGGCCCTGGCGGTCGAGGTACCTGCGGAAGGGCTTCCAGGTGACGTTCTTGCCGGCGCGGTTCGTGTAGACGGAGTGGCCCTTGGCCGCGAGGACCGGCGCCAGCCGCACCTCGCGGTGGTCGAGGATGTAGGAGAACAACGCCTTTCTGATCTCGACGGTCTTGTAGCAGTGCGCCAGCGACTGGGCGTCAAAGGAGCCGACGGGGTGCTCGGGGAAGACGCCGCTCGCGCTCTTGGCCTCGCCCGCGGCGAACTGGCTATGCCAGCGCATGACCAGCAGGAGGCCCCGGCGGGCCAGCGGCGTGAGCGCGTCGCGCAGCACGACGGCGACGGGCGGCCCGCCGTCGTCGAGCTCGACGGCGTAGCTCTCGTAGGGGAGGACGTAGCCCGCGGCCGCGCGGCCCGGCCGCTCGCCGCCGGCGGGCCGGCGCAGCGCGTTGAGCTTGTCGGGCAGGTACTGGATGGCCCAGTCGCCGTCGATCGTCGCGAGGCCCTCCAGGTTCGCGCGCAGCACGACGTCGATCCGGAGCTCCGGATCGACGTCGTACCGCCGGCCGAGCGCGCCGTCGCGCGCGCCGCGGCGCCGCATCACGATCGGCCGGCGGCGGCCCCACCTGTCGAGGTACTTTTGGATCTCGCAGCGGCGCTCCGTGGCCCGCCGCACGTCGTCGGCGACGAACTCGTGGAAGTCGCGCTCCGCGCGGCCCCACGCGGCCGGATTCGTCGGCGCGGGGGGCTTGGTGGAGGAGTCGCCCTGGTCCGTCGACGCCGTGAGGAAGGTCACGTCGGGCTCTCGGCTCTGCAGGTAGTGGGTCATGCGCTTGGTGGAGCTCGCGTTCTGGCGCAGGCGCTCGCAGGTCACGCGCGCCGCGAGCCCGTGGAGCTGCTGCTCCGTCAGGTTGGGGTCATCGTCGGTCGCGAGCGCGTGGTAGGGCTGTGCGAGCGCGGCAGCACCCGCCGCGCGCGCCGCGTACTTTGCGTCGTCGCGGGTGGAGTACGGTAAATTTTTTACGCCGGGCGCGCGCGACGGCCGCTGCTGCTGGGGCGGCGGCGGCGACGGCTGCTGGAGCTGCTCCGGCGACGGCTGCTGGAGCTGCTCCGGCGGCGAGAGGCGCTGCTGCTGGAGCTCCGGCGGCGAGGGCTGCTGCTGGAGCCGCGCCGGCGAGAAGAGCTGCCGCGGCGGCGGCGGCGCCGAGAAGAGCTGCTCCGGCGGCGGCGGCGGCGACGGCGAGGGCTGCTGCTGGAGCTGCTGGAGCTGCTCCGGCGGCGAGAAGAGCTGCTGCTGGAGCTCCGGCGGCGAGGGCTGGAGCCGCGGCGGCGGCGCCGAGAAGAACCGCCGCGGCGGCGGCGCCGAGAAGAGCTGCTCCGGCGGCGGCGGCGGCGGCGAGAGCTGCTGGAGCTGCGGCGGCGCCGACGAGAGGAGCTGCTGCTGGAACTGCGGCGGCGAGAAGAGCTGCTGCGCGAGCCGCGGCGCGGGCCGCGGCGGCGGCGGCGGCCCGAGGAAGATGGGCGTCAGGACCCGCGCGGGCGCCGGCGTCACGCCGCCGTCGCCAAAGTCGTAGCCGCGGGCGTCGCGGCGGCGGACGTCGTCGTAGCCGCGGAAGTCGTCGCCCCGGAAGGCGCGGCGGCGGTCGTCGTAGAAGGGGCGGCGGTCGTCGTCGTAGCCGCGCCGGAAGTCGTCGTAGCCGCGGCGGTCGTCGCAGAACGCGCCGCGGCGGCGGTCGTCGTAAAAGGGGCGGTCGTCGTAGAAGGGGCGGTCGTCGTGGAAGGGGCCGCGGCGGCGCTCGTCGGCGCGCGGGTAGTCGTAGGAGCCGCGCGCCTCGGACGCGTTCGGCGCGACGACGGCGCCGGAGACGACCAGGGCGCGGGAGCCGGCGTCGACGATGGCGGCGCCCATCGTCGTCGTCGTCGTCGACGCCCGCAGCTGCTTCTTCTTCATCTTCTTCTTCTCCTTCTTCTTCTTGTTCTCTTTTTTTCTCTGGACCTCCGTCTTGGGCGTTTTCTGCTTCTTCGGCTTCTGCTGCTCGGACGGCCGCAGGCCGCGCTTGGGCACGACGGGGCGGGCCACGAACTGGGCGAGGATCGCCGGCGGCGGCGCCGGGGAGTCGTCGTCGCGCGGCGGCGGCGGCAGCGGCAGGAGCGGCTCCGGCGACGGCGGCGGCGCGGGGTCGTCGTCGTCGTCGTCGACGTTGACGTCCTCGCGGAGCGCCAGCACGTCGTTGTCGTTGACGTCCTCGCGGAGCGCCAGCACGTCGTCGGCGTCGTCGCCGTGGAAGGCCGGCGCGACGACGGCGAGCCGCTCGAGCCCGGCGGCGCCGTCGTCGCGCGCCTTGAGGCTGTCGTCGGCGAGGACGCCCGGGAAGTCGGCGACCATGCCGCTCTGGCCCTTGTTGGCGGGGACGTCGATCGCGGTGTCGCAGAAGAGCTCCGCCGCCCACTCCACGGGCCAGCCGTAGAGCGTCTTGCGCGCGGACTCGAAGTAGGCCGCGCCCACGAGCGCGAGGTCCTTGTGGTGCTCGAGCTGGGCGGCGGACGTGTAGACGTAAGGCCTGTCCTCGCGGAACTTGACCACGCCGACGACGCGTGCGTCCTCGAGCTGGCCGGTGGTCTTGATGATCCAGTGCGGCTTCGCGCGCCTCGACGGGTCGAGGCGGTAGGGCCGCACCTCGATGGCCTTGCGGCCGCTGGCGAGCTGGGTCGCCCACTCCTGCTGGACCTGGATCCCCGGCAGGCGGATCGTGCCTTGGCCGCGCGCCTTCATGTGCGCGTAGAGCGCCGCGTCGCCGACGCCGACGCAGCCCACCTCGAGGCGCGGCGCCGGGAGGTCCAGGTCGACCGTGCGCGTGTTGCTCGCGTTGTCCTTCTCGCTTTTGCGCGCGTTCGCCGCCGAGACCAACGACGCCGCGCGCTCCTTCTTGGCGGCCCTGCCCTTGGCCTGGCTCTGGAGCTTCTCCTTGTCGCTGCGCTTCTTCTTCTCGACGCAGCGCCGCGTCGGCCGCGCCGGCGGCTTGGGCACGCGGGATTTTGCCGCCGGTGGCGGCGCACTCGGCCGGCGTTTATCGGCGTTGCGCGTCGTGACCATGGCGCTGTGTTTTCACGGACTAGCCATCGTTGTCGCAAGAAACTCCTCGTTGCAGTGCAACAACATCGAATTTGGAGGATGGGCAAGCGGCGGAAGCGTGCTATCGGACACGAGTGCCAGCTCCCGGATGACGTCGCCGAGTTCGCGCGCAGCGGCGAGGCGCCGGACGACGACCGGCGGCGCAGCGGCGAGGCGCCGGACGACGACCGGCGGCGCAGCGACGAGGCGCCGGACGACGACCGGCGGCGGCGGAGCGACGAGAAGTCTCTGGACGACGAGGCGCCGGACGACGACCGGCGGCGAAGCGACGAAGCCCCGGACGACGACGAGGCCCCGGACGACGAGGCGCGGCGGCGGCGACGCGCCGCTCGTGGACCCCCGGGCCGTGCTCGCGCTCCTGGCGACGAGGCCGTCGTCGACCTCGCGGCGGATTCGACGAGCTCCGACGACGACCACCAGCCGTTGACGGCGTCCCTCGCGCTGGTCGTCGGCGGTGGCGCGACGCCCGCCGGCGCCGTGGCCGTCGTCGTCGTCGGCGTCGTGCGCCGCGCGGCCCCCGGAGCCCTCGTCCTGGACGTGGACCTGCTCGAGCGGCTCGGGCATGTGGGACGAACGCGCCGCGCGCGGCGGCATGCGAATACGCGGGCTACTACGGCGCCGCCGCGGCCCCCGCCCTCGGCGTCGCTCATCGCCGGCGTCCTCGTCACCGCGGGCCACTACGTGGCCGCGGTGTGCCGGCGCGGCGAGGGTTCTCGCTGGCGCGTCGACACGTTCGACGCGCTGCGCCGCGGCGGCGTCTGGACGCGCGGTGAAGAAGATGTGCTGGAAGCCGTCGCGACCTGGCTCGGGGGAGCCGTGGAGCGGGGCGGAGCAGCAGCACGACTGGAACCGCCGCGCCAGACGGACCGGCGCTCCTGCGCGCTGTGGGCCTGCGCGTCGCTGGCGGCGGCGCTCGGCGGCGCCGCGCCTCCGCGGACCAAGGCCGAGTGTCGCGCGTACTTGGCGGATGTCTAAATTATGAGGTCTGGGAATTCGGCGGCGGCTCATGAAGCCGGGGCGTCCGGGGAGCCCGCGCGGTCGACCGTGACGGACGGAGCTCCGCGTCGTGGGCGGCGACGCCCGGAGCTCCTGGAGTTTGATGTCGAGCGCGTCTTCGACGAGCGAGCGCGTCGTGGGCGGCGACGCGCTGGGCGCGGAGCGAGAGCGGCGAGAGCGCCTCGGCGAGCGCGTCGCCGGCGACGCTCCGCGCGCCCGAACGCGTCGGGCAGGGGGAGCCGCACGTGAAGATCGGCGCCGAGTTCGCGCGCGTCGCGCGCGCCGCCGCCGTCGTCGACGAGGCCGCGCGGGCCGTCGTCGAGCGCGTCGAGCGCGTGGGCGCGGGCGAGGACCCGAGCTCGTCGGAGGCGTCGTGGGCGCCGTCGTGGGCGCCGTCGTGGGCGTGGCCGGCGACGAGGCCGAGGGCGCCGCCGTCGTGGGCGGTCTCGACGTCGTCGCGGTCGTCGCCGAGGGCGCCGCCGTCGAGGGCGTCGTCGAGGACGAGGGCGCCGCCGTCGTGGCCGCCGTCGTGGCCGCCGTCGTGGCCGCCGTCGTGGCCGCCGTCGTCAGCGCCGCCGAGCGCGTCGTCGAGGTGCGGCCCGGCGCCGAAGACCACCGGCAGCAGCCGCGGCGAGAGCCACGAGCTCGTAAAGGCCGAGGCCATGCGGCTCTCAGCCAGACGTTTCCCTCTTCAGCATCGGCTCGCGAGATGCTCGCGCGCGCGGTGCGCGCGAGCATCGTTCTCGACGGCGTCGGCGTACCGCGGCGCCGGCCGCGGCAGCGCTGGCGCGTCGTCGTCGCCGCCGAGGCGGAGTTTCATCGACTCCCGCGTCAGCACGTTGCACTTGGACGTGCCGTCGTCCCACTCAATGAGACACACGTTGCACTTGGACGTGCCGTCGTCCCACTCAATGAGGCACATGTCTTCCGCCCCCTCGAGCGGCTGCCACTGGTATGGAGGTTCGCACGACGCTGGCTCGAGTAGGAGCGCCGGAAAGTACTTCCACGGTCCATGCGGGTTCGTGAGACTCACCGAGAACGGCGCCCACGGCTGGCCTCGACGCCGTAGCGGATCGTGTAGACGCTGTCCTGCACGGAGATGACCGTCATGGGGATGTGCAGGTGGAGCTTGGACGCGACGAGCGCCCAGGAGGTCGAGACGATGCAGGTGGTGAAAGAGAAGATCCAGGTTTTGCGGAAGGAAGCAGGCATTAAAAGATTGAGCGTGGTCGAGCCGGAGGACCCGGCGGCTTTCTCAAAAGAGAAGGCCACGCGGATGGTCCCGACGCGGAAAGGACCCACTCGGAGCCAGACGTTCCCGCTGTCCTGGACTACCATCCTCTCCATCGACCTCGGATGTTACGGCCCGGCGCCACGCAGGTTAGAGAGGGGATGGGAGGTTTGGTTAGGCCCTGCGCGCGCCCGACGGATGTTACGGCCCGGCGAGCCCCGCTGCCAGGATGGCAACGCGCCCCCGAGCGACGGCGGTCGCGTCTGCCACTTGTTGAGACCGAGGCGCCGAGGTCCCCGAAGAGCGACCCCCGGGGGCGCCGAGGCGCGTTCCCGAGGCGATGCATCCGAGACGCGGAGCGCATCCGAGAGCGCCGAGGAGAAGCGCTGCGCGCGAGTGTTGTGGGCCGCGACCCGGGCGCGCGGCGCACGAGGACGCGCGCCCGGGTCGCGGCGTCGTTCGAACGATCACACACGCTGCGGCGCTCGTCGACGACGCCGTCATCCCTGCACGGCGGTGCATGGACCACACGCGCCGCCGCCGCGAGGGCGGGGCGCGTGCGCTGCGCATCGGCGGGCGCCGGCTCTGACGACGGCGCCGTGGCGAGTGTTCGAGGGCGAACGAGAGCGTCGTCGGCCGGGTGCTTCGTTCGAACGCCAGGGAAAACGATCGACGGCGTTGCGCGGCGCGCCCGCGCGGGCGTTGATGTTGTTGAGCTTTCGTTCGAACGCGCGGAGCGTCGAGAGTTCTGGGGGCGCGGGGCCTCGACGAGGTGCAGCTGCTGCGAGAGCGTCGCGCGGGGGTCGAATCGTTCTCGACGCAACAACTCGCGCCGGCGCCCGGCGCCCCGCGGGCCGCCGACGACGGCGGCGGCGGCGGTCCTGCGCGCGCGTCGTCCGCCCCGATCTGCAACTCGATGTCCACGTCGTCCGCGGCGCGGACGACGCGCGCGAACTCGGCGCGCGCGCGCGCGATCAACTCGGGTCCCCGGCCGAACCGAGCCGCGGTCCCGCCCCCGCCCCCGAACGCGGGAGCTCGCGGCGCAACTCGGTAACTTTCAACGCGCGACTTTTCAACTCAAACGACGCGCGGGGCAACTCGGTGACGTGCAACTCGGTGATTTCCAGCGCAACTCGATACTTTCTAGCGCAACTCGATGCTGTGCGGGGGCAACTCGGACGACGCGCGGGGCAACTCAAGCGGCGCGCGGTGCAACTCGATACTTTCTAGCGCAACTCGGTACTGGAGAGAACTCGGATCCCCGGCCGTGGTGGACCGCGGTCCCGCCCCCGCCCCCGAACTCGGTACGTCCAACTCACGTGCCGCCGCCGCCCAAAACTCGAACCTGACCCTGCGGGTCAGGGTTAGGGTTTAGGGTAGCCGGACGGCGGCGGGCGCTGGCCGGCGCCCATCCGCTCGCCGGAGGGTTAGGGTCAGGGTTAGCGGGACGGCGCGGAGCTGGTGGTAGCCGATCTGTGGTCCGTCTAGCCCCTGGGAAAGTGCCTGGGCCGGAGGTAGGCGCCGCGGTCGGTGGTTCGAAGTCGCACGTGCGCGAAACTGGGGGCTTGTATCTCCATCGTCGGGACCCCCGGTCTGCGTGCGACCCCCGGCGGCCGAGTGGCTTTTGGGCATGGAGTTGGTCCGCGCCCCTCGCCGCGCCGCTGCGGGTCTTTGCGTGCGTTCGAAGGCTGCGCGAGGCGTGTGTGTTGGCCAGGCATGGCGCCGCTGTCCAGCAGGACCAAAAAGTGGCGCGAACGAGCGTGTATGTGAAGAGCGCTCGTCGTTCTACGGGGGCATTGCCTGCGAGATGCGAGTTTCGAGAGAGCGGTCCGCGCTCGAACACTCGCCGCGCCGTCGCGAGAACTCGGACCCTTTGGGAACGAACTCTGAGCCCCGGCCGGAAGTGACCGCGGGCTCCGCCCCCGCCCCCGAACTCGGAC